GTAGAAGAGTGTTTCGTTTAGGTAAGCCCTTAATAGAGACAGAGGGACTGATAAATGATTGCATGTATTCTGGTACCAGCTAGTGAAGTGGGGGGTCCAGACTACTTTGTATGGTCTAGTAACTGTAGGTGCCCGGATATTACCAACTGTTTGTGTGTATTATAGATATCAGTCATATGAAGTTGGTGTCTGATGTCTTAAAAGAAAGTCACTTCATTGATGCTGACTGGTTTGAGTTAGGAATGGGATTGAACCTACCTTATCCTGGCCTGGCAAACATCAGAGCTAGATTTACTGATCCTTCTCAGTGTTTACTGGAGTGCTTGAGCTTGTGGTTGACTTCAGCTAATAATCGTACTTGGGAATCATTAGCTAGTGCACTTGAGAGAATGAATAAAAAACCAGCTGCTACACTCATCCGTAATACATGTAAAGTTAACATACATAAATACAGTTTAACATATAATTATATATTATTTTTATAGATGATGATCCTGCTAGTCAGATATTGCAGCATTACAGTGATAGAATATCACAAGTATTTCTCACTGATAGTTGTATCCAGTTGTTATATACAGAAGGATTAATCACTGAGGATACACAAAGGAAGATTGAGAGATGTGGTGGCTCATTAAGTGATGCATTAAGAGAATTAATGATTGCAGTATCTGATGATCACAGTAAGCTGAGGTCACTAGGAAATATATTAATGGAATTAGAGGAGACTAAACCTTTAGCTCAAGATATTATTCAAGATTGTGGTAAGACGTCCTTCATAATTCAAAATAATTTTATTTTTAAAATTTTAGATGAAATGATTCCTGAAGCCAATAGTATTGAAATTGATGAACCTATGCCTAATGCCCCATCAGGTATAATAATGATACATGTATGTAATATAGTATTCATATTTATTAAATTAATAGTTGAAGAAGTTTTTGTTAGTGAAGTATACAATTGTCGTTTTGATGAAGTTCGTGTTAAGTTTGGTGACCTACGCTACAACATAATACAACTAGTAGTGGAGAATGTACCTTCAACTGATGATGTTAAGAAGTACCTTGCTTTCTGCTTTCCTGAAGTAAAAGAAGAGCTATCATCAGTTGGTTCAGTTGAAGAAGTCATGAATATTGTTGAGAGCAGATGTAATATCATCAATATTGTACCAATAAAAGCAATCGTTA